ATCGGTCTCAACAAACACACCGCAAAAAGAAGATTACATCGAATAGTTCTCCACAAGAGAGGGGGAGAACATTGTATTGAGATCCAAAAAGAGAGAAGAAGCCATCTAGCTACTAGCTATGGACCCGAAGGTCTGAAGTAAACTACGCACACTTCATCGGAGGGGCTATGGTGTTGATGTAGAAGCCCTCCATGGTAGATGCCCCCTCCGGCGGAGCTCCGGAACTGGCCCCAAGATGGGATCTCGTGCATACAAAAAGTTGCGGCGGTGGAATTAGGTTTTTGGCTCCCCTTCTGATCTGTCGGGGGTACGTAGGTATATATAGATGGAAGGACTACGTCGGTGGAGCAGCAGGGGGCCCACGAGGTAGGGGGGCGAGCCCAGGGGGGCGCGCCCTCCACCCTCGTTACCGCCTCTTTTGTTCCTTGGAGCAGGGTCCAAGTCTCCTGGATCACGTTTGGTGAGAAAATCACGTTCCCGAAGGTTTCATTCCGTTTGGACTCCGTTTGATATTCCGTTTCTTCGAAATACTGAAATAGGCAAAAAACAGCAATTCTGGGCTGGGCCTCCGGTTAATAGGTTAGTCCAAAAAATAATATAAAAGTGGAAAATAAAGCCCAATATAGTCCAAAACAGTAGATAAAGTAGCATGGAGCAATCAAAAATTATAGATACGTTGGAGACGTATCAAGCATCCCCAAGCTTAATTCCTGCTCGTCCTCGAGTAGGTAAATGATAAAAAGAGAATTTTTAATGCGGAGTGATACTTTGGCATAATTTCAATGTAAATCTTCTTAATTGTGACATGAATATTCAGATCCGAAAGATTCAAGACAAAAGTTCATATTGACACAAAAATAATAATATTTCAAGCATACTAATCAAAGCAATCATGTCTTCTCAAAATAACATGGCAAAAGAAAGTTCATTCCTACAAAATCATATAGTTAGGCTATGCTTCATTTTTGTCACACAAAGATGTTCCCAACTTCTATACCCCCGATGACAAGCCAAGCAATTGTTTCATACTTAAATAATCTCAAACTTTTTTAACCTTCACGCAATACATGAGCGTGAGCCATGGATATAGCACTATGGGTGGAATAGAACATGATGATGGGGATTGTGTGGAGAAGACAAAAAAAGAGAAAGTCTCATATTGACGAGGATAATCAACGGGCTATGGATGCCGATCAATTGATGTCAACATGAGGAGTAGGGATTGCCGTGCAACGGATGCACTAGAGCTATAAATGAATGCTCAACAAAAGAAAACTAGTGGGTGTGCATCCAACTTGCTTGCTCACGAATAGCTAGGGTATTTGAGGAAGCCCATCGTAGGAATATACAAGCCAAGTTCTTATAATGAAAATTTTCCACTAGTATAAAAAGACAACTTATGAGACTCACTACACTACAAGGATCCGGGTCTATTACAACAAAAGTATTTGTCGCAATAAGTACCCAATTGTCGCAACAGGTACCTATTACCATGACATGGTCTTCGTTGCCAGCCGTTGCGACAGGACACATGGTAATAGGTTATTGCCACAAAAAAGTAAATGTGGCAAGAAAGCGTGCTATTGCAACAACCATGTTGCAAGTTGCCACATTTTTTCTCGTGGCATCGTGCACTTGATGCCACAATTTGGTTTGTCGCAATAGCTTAATGCAACACATAGCGAACCGTGGCGATTTAGCTATTTGTGGCGATAGACATTTGTGGCAATAACCTATACCAACAACTCTTTTTCATGGCACGTGCTCTTTCGTGGCAATAGTCAATTGTGGCAATACCCTATGGCAACAACTCTTGTTTGTGTGGGCATAGTCCTTTCGCCATGAACCCTATGTTTGTGGCAGTAAAGTATGGCAACGACTCTTTAGACGTGGTAATACTAAAATTGCAACATACTCGTTTTGGTGGTGATAAATATATCACAACGGACAGACTATTTGTGGTGAGAGGTTGTAGAGACAATATGAACGTTTCATGGCGAAAGGCCTATTTCAGCAAAACTGAATTCCGTGGCAACAAGTAGTTATCTCAACAGACTGAGTTTTTGTTGTGACAAGTTAATGCGACTATATGAAGTGTTTCATCGCCACAACCTAGTGCTACAAAACAGGCCAGCGTGGCGACTAAGATTTGATACAACCCTAATTTTCGTGGTGCCAACATGTTGCAACCAAACGTAGCTTGTGGTAATAGCCTACTGTAACCAGAAAAAAAATATACATGCATTCAATTACATGATTCAAATAATGCATATATGACATAGATTCATCAAACATCAAAGTTTGCATAGCCAATATCCATCAAAATACAATGTGCCATCCTAATTAAGAGCGAAGATATAAATTGTCCGTGGTCTAGAGTCCATTCCAGCTAAATCTTTGGATCCTGCTATGAAGAAATTAGAAATTTATTTAGCTCTAGTTAATTGAAAATAGAAAATACTTAGTCAAGAAAATAAAGAAACAACACAACGACTAATTAGCAGAAAGATATAACCACTATCATGACAATTGTATAATTACTATATTCGGGCATGCATGGGTATCTTCCTGACAAATTGTCATGACCACAACAGCTAGCAAGCAAATTCTTGTGCCTGTTGTACTACTCCATCAACAATTAGATGCTATGCAAAAAGAATTGGATAATTTCACAAAAGATTTTATAGTTCAAACACAAGAATAATTACCTAAATTAATCAAACTAAATTTCTCCAAAACAACTACATGCTGGCACAAGTTCACAATTTCTAATGGTGAGAAAACTGTTCTATTTCTGGCTTCCCTACTGTATGTGCTTCAGCAACAAAAAAAGTACAATAGTGCAAGCAAGTAGATGGTTGCACATTATGAAGGCCATTTATGTATCAAATAAAGGCCAACATGAAGACAAACCAAGCTTGTGACTTACCATTACTCGAAACATTCGAGAATTCATTGTTGCAACTTGTATGAGCGTATTTGGAGCAATTACATTATGCCTTGTACCTAGAGTCCCAGTAGTACTAGCGGTTTGTAAAAGAGAATTTTGCAAGTTTGGATTCCTATTTTATTTGCCAGTCCTTTATTAGGCATCTGCAAGTAGAAGTGCACTTTTAGCAACGCAAGTAAGCAAATAAATCTAACAAGTTCGCAAGCATAGACCACCTGATGCGTTTGCGTCTGTTGGATCACCAGCAGGATCTTGCGTTCAATTCATCATTGTGTCCTTCTGTACGTAATATCATAATTTGAGTCAATTTTAGAAGAAATGCGATACTTAAAGCAAGCATAAAAAAGTAACCAGAAAAATATCTATTCAAGTCTATACTGAAGCTATTGTAAGCAAAAATAAGCTAGGCTTCAAAGATTACACATGCAGTAACCTAGCCCGAATGTGGTAAGCAAACTACCAAGGTTAAATAAGCTGAATATGGTAGTATGCTTTAGTATAGGTACATACGCTTTTAAGAAGTCCGGACAGTGGTTCTGGTATTAGCTTGGTAATATTTTACATAGTGAAAAGGAAAACTTGGGACTATTTACACCAAATGTGGGACACTCCAAAATACAAAAATAAATTAGTCGTGGTCGTGGTCGTGGCCGCCATGGCTGTGGTAACCATGGCCGAGTCCGTGACGGCATTGACGACAGCAGGTCGACCGTCTCTCAGCTCGGCGTGAGTCCCGCCGCCACCGCTGGCGAGGGGGCATATTGCATCCCCGGGGTTGTTGTAGTGGTGGATCCAAGAATTCAACTTTGGGTGTTAAAAAAATACCCTAACATCAACTCTCTTTTTTCCGTTTCAGCCTACATTTGCTTTAAAAAAATCATTTGTTATTCTTTTACTAATGGAATCAGTTACATCAGGACTGTTCTATGTACAAAGATACATCTCTAAATCCAAACAGAAGCTACACATGAATGCAATTTCAAATTGGAACTTTGGAGGGGATTGGTGAACTCTTGGCTTGCTTAGACTAGTTTATCTGGACTGAAGCTGAGTTGATTAACTCACTCTTCGTACTCTCTGAAGTCTGAACTCAAGCATGTATGCAGTACTTTTTGTCATGTACCTATGCTGGATCCGCCCCTGGGTTGCTGTAGTAGGATGGTGAGGCTATTGCCTCCCTGCCGGAGGCGAGAGTGACTAGATATGCCTCACAGGAGTACAGACTTGGTTACATACAAATGTGATGCACGGCGGCACTCAGCGTGGTAGTTCTACGACGAAAAGGGGGCACTGCCATGGCCATGTCGTCCACCGCCTCCTGCTGCCCCTCCTCCTTATCTCCCCATGGCCACCAAACCAAGATGGTTTGGTCTAAAATGCTTAAACTATAATCTAGTTGGGCTGGAATCTCTAAATGCAGTCTGTACACATTGCTTGCACGTGTCGAATGAGCGATGAATGAACTACTTTTCCAGCACAACAAGCAAACACTACATTAACAATAGAAGAAAGTCTGATTTTACACAAGAAAAGGTTAAAGGTTGAATGTTCAGTGCACACATAATATAACAGTAAAAAAGACACAATTGTAGCATCAGATTGGCAGCAAGATTTTCTTATTCTTGGGCATGGAGAGCTCTATATAAATTGAACCAAGCCAATGGATCAATTTGGCGTAAGCAGGACCAACCCAAAACCATGGCAAAAAAGGGTTGAAAGCTAGCTCAGTTGATGAATTTGTTACAGCTGAAAAAAATAGGGCCTAGACCATCTCTGAAACCAACCATCCCTGCATGTACATAGTAAACTGAAACCAAATCCAAGCTACTCCATGGATAGGATATGATAGGATCGTCTTGGAGCAAAGCAAACTAGTTTGTTACCTATAGGAAGGGGGAGGGAAACTAAAACGCTGCAAGGAGGAAGGAAGGGTCGTGGCCTTACCACCGCCGTGGTGCAGGGGCGCCGGAAATGGCTGGCAGTGGCAGATCGGACGAAGCAGGAGGAGAAGGAAGGCCCTGACTGTTCCATGGCGGCGTCCCTGCATCTATCAAGCTGCAACTGCGTGGGGAAGGAAATCAGGGGAGGAGATCAAATCAAATCGAAGAGAAAGGATGGGCGAGGGTTGACCTTGAAGCGCAGCCATGTTTGTGCCCAAGTGGCTCTCATGGCCTCCATCGCCGGATGGTCGATCTGGGATCAGAGGAAGCAGCCTCCCATGTTGACCTCCATCATGGGATCCTTGACGAAGCCCTCTTCTCATCCATGGGAGGAAGCTGGATAGGGAGGAAGAGGACGCCGGTTTTGGCCGTGGCAGATCTGACCGCTGCCCGACCGGCATCAACGGTACCGGCGCCGCGTGCACAAGGTTCGCCTTAAGGGAAGTCCCCGCCTTTGGGGACGAGGTTGTCATCGCGGCGGTTGCGGGACGCATAGGGGCAGATGGCCATGGACGGGGAGGTGGCGGCGACCGTGGATGGGGAGGGGAGGATCTGAAAGAGGAGGACGGCGAGATCAGGGGAGTCGGGGCGGACAAAGGGGAAAGAAGAAGCTGACGGAGATCTACATAGGAGTTGACTGCTTGCTGTTGGATCACGGAAGAGTAGGCGGTCTGGATTTGCGATCCGTGGGTTGGTTCGCTCAACCAATCACATCGCAAGTTCTTCCTCACGCTGAAATGCCACATCAGCACCATCCATCAATCACGGTCCAAATGGTGTATGAGAACGGACCTAATTGTTCGAACCATGATGGGTATGGTGATTGTCCCTCTTTGTTTGTCATGATGGGTCTACCGATTTGGGGTGCCATCATCATGTTGCTTATATATGACGGATCTTGCGACGAACCAGAAAAATCGTCATAAATTATGAGAGTTTCTGGCAATGTCATCACAATTTCATCATGGATTAACATGTTTTTTTTGTAATGGGATGACCGGATGAGAGGTACGGGTTCGAGAGAAGGTGCAGAAGCTGTCGGGGAAGAAGAACCAGCAACTGATGCGCACGCGGGTGCCGATAGGTGCGTCACTCGAGGCCGTTTGGGCCACGCTCACCGACTACAAGGGCCTAGCCGGTTTCATCCCCGGCCTCTCCGAGTGCCGCCTCCTCACGCAGCTTTTGCCCGCCTGTAGGTGCTACGCTGCACATCTATAAGGAGGAGATTTGGGAGAAAGGAATAACCTAAGGTAGTGTTCGTTCGATGGACTCCGGTCGGTGTGGTTCGTTGTGTCGACACTGACATGACGCCGTGAGGATGGAGGAACCCGAATGAGAGAGCTCAGATCCAATCTTGACGATTTGGTGAAGAGAAATAATTAGGAGTATCTGTGAGGGGTGTTTAGTGGGGAAATTACAAAAAGAATTGGAGGGAGACTGAAGGAAGCTTAATTAAAAATTACTCCCTCCGTCCCATAATATAAGAGCGTTTTCTACACTAGTGTAGTGTAGAAAACACTCTTATATTATGGGACGGAGGGAGTACTTCCCTAAAGCAGAGTACACGCTTAATTATTTGTTTGGAAAGCAAATTTTTGAAGGAAACATTTAGAATAATGAAATAAATTGGAAAAAGTATATTTTGAATCAATATGAAATATATCTGCTGCTGAAAATGATATTACTAAAATTTGTTCATAAAAGGTTATTTCATTGACTAGCCGAGATAGATGTCCGCGTCACTGCCAATCATACATGACGGTTGTGATGGTGGGGAGAGTACGTAGTCGACACAAGATCAACAAGTAATTTATACATACATACATACATACATACATACATACATACATAGGGGATCATCATGTTAATCATACAACCAAAATCCAATGCCACCACATATATTCGGCATTTTCCAACTAGCAAACCCTAGGTAACTGATCTAGCTAGCTAACCGTAACCGTCGCTCCCGGGCTGCCAACTCACCCGGGCTTCTAGTGCGAGGACAATGCCGATCCATATAATCCAATCCAAGGAAGACCCGATGACCACGCCGAAGTAGAACCTCGCAAGGGAAAGATTGGCGTTCTGAGAATCACATGGCAGAAATAGTAGCTATCAGGGCATACTAGAACCTCGCATGAAAATACCTACACCAAGAACATATAGATCGTCTCCATCGAAAGTGTTGTGGTTTCCACACATATGGGGAGAATATTGTCATAGCTCATCTATCTCATCATCATCTGTGTCCTAGATCAAGTAGTTTATACACACATAGATAGGGGGTCATCATGTTAAACATGTTAAGTATCATGATTGGATTGGAAATACAAGATAGCCGAATGCATTGGGCTCGCCGGCTGTGTCGTGCTCGCCAGCTGCCTCAGCTCGGGCGTGACTGTTGCGTTGGTCACTCGAGCCTTGCTGCCCGGGCTGACACGCTCGTCTGCACGTCGTGTAATGCCATCAATCATAGCCGGCTTCATGTTGGACTCCGCCGCCACCCCGCCTCCACCAAGCAGCGGCGTCGACCTCGCGCGGGCCCGCCTGCCCACGATCCGCCTCATCTATGTAGTGCAACCGGTCTGGCCCGTCGATGGTGCACGCCTCCGCAGGTCCCGTAAAGACTCTCCCGAGTACAGTGCGCCCCTCCATCGGTCGAGCATCAGGCTCACACCGCCCCGTGGTTCCCCCACGACTGCACCGGCTCGCCCGCCGCCATTGCATCACCACTTCGGGTCGTAGCCTCGCGACACATGGTCCCAACGCAGTGGCAGTGCCAGGAATCACATCATGTGTAGTCAATTGGATGTTGTGTAGTCAAATGTATGAATTTATAAGATTTTCTTGCCTGATTTCTACTTGTTGTATGATGTATTTACAAAAATCTGTGTAGTCAATTGACCTCACAGGTCAAGCGTGGCTTCGCCACTGGCCCGATGACTGCATCGATCCTCGTGCTACCGCTGCATCGCCCCTTCGAGTCATACTGCGTGGGGCACATGGTCTACACCGCTGCCTTGAGGTCTTCACGCCAATATATTTGGCATTTCCCAATGAGCAAAACCTAGCTAACTGTAACCAGCGCTCTTGGGCTACCAACTCACTCGGGCTTCTAGTGTGAGGACGATGCCGATCCAACATAATCCAATGCCACCACATATATTCGGCATTTTCCAACTAGCAAATCCTAGCTAACTGATCTAGCTATCTAAGCATTACTAGCTTTCCCGAGCTACCTGTTGGGGAACGTAGCAGAAATTCAAAATTTTCCTACGTGTCACCAAGATCTATCTATGGAGAAACCAGCAACGAGGGGAAGGAGAGTGCATCTACATACCCTTGTAGATTGCTAAGCGGAAGCGTTCAAGAGAATGGGGTTGAAGGAGTCGTACTCGTCGTGATCCAAATCACCGGAGATCCTAGTGCCGAACGGACGGCACCTCCGCGTTCAACACACGTACAGCCCGGTGACGTCTCCCATGCCTTGATCCAGCAAGGAGAGAGGGAGAGGTTGAGGAAGACTCCGTCCAGCAGCAGCACAACGGCGTGGTGGTGATGGAGGAGCCTGGCAATCCTGCAGGGCTTTGCCAAGCACCGCGGGAGAGGAGGAGGGAGAGAGGTAGGGCTGCGCCAGGGAGAGGTGAAACTCATGTGTTGGCAGCCCCAAAGTCCTCAAGTATATATAGGGGGAGAGGGAGGGCTGCGCATCCACCTAGGGTTTCACCCCTAGGGGCGGCGGCCAGCCCAAAACCCATCTAGGGTGCGGCCAAGGGGGGGGAGAGGGGAAACTTGCCCCCCAAGTTAGGTGGGTGCGCCCCCCTCCCCAAACCCTAGGCGCCTTTGGGCCCTTGTGGGGGCGCACCAGCCCACCTGGGGCTGGTCCCCTCCCACACTTGGCCAATGCAGCCCTCTGGGGATGGTGGCCCCACTTGGTGGACCCCCGGGTCCCTCCCGGTGGTCCTGGTACATTACCGATATAACCCAAAACTTTTCTGGTGACCAAAACAGGACTTCCCATATATAAATATTTACATCCGGACCATTCCGGAACTCCTCCTGACGTCCGGGATCTCATCCGGGACTCCGAACAACATTCGGTAACCACATACAAACTTCCTTTATAACCCTAGCGTCATCGAACCTTAAGTGTGTAGACCCTACGGGTTCGGGAACCATGCAGACATGACCGAGACATTCTCTGGTCAATAACCAATAGCGGGATCTAGATACCCATGTTGGCTCCAACATGTTCCACGATGATCTCATCGGATGAACCACGATGTCAAGGACTCAATCAATCCCGTATACAATTCCCTTTGTCTAGCGGTATTGTACTTGCCCAAGATTCGATCGTCGGTATGCCGATACCTTGTTCAATCTCGTTACCGGCAAGTCTCTTTACTCGTTCCATAACACATCATCCCGTGATCAACCCCTTGGTCACATTGTGCACATTATGATGATGTCCTACCGAGTGGGCCCAGAGATACCTCTCCATTTACACGGAGTGACAAATCCCAGTCTTGATTCATGCCAACCCAACAGACACTTCCGGAGATACCCATAGTGCACCTTTATAGCCACCGAGTTACGTTGTGACGTTTGGTGCACCCAAAGCATTCCTACGGTATCTGGGAGTTGCACAATCTCATGGTCTAAGGAAATGATACTTGACATTAGAAAAGCTTTAGCATACGAACTACAATCTTTGTGCTAGGCTTAGGATTGGGTCTTGTCCATCACATCATTCTCCTAATGATGTGATCCCGTTATCAATGACATCCAATGTCCATGGTCAGGAAACCGTAACCATCTATTGATCAACGAGCTAGTCAATCATAGGTTTACTAGGGACATGGTGTTGTCTATGTACCCACACATGTATCTGAGTTTCCTATCAATACAATTATAGCATGGATAATAAACGATTATCATGAAAAAGGAAATATAATAATAATAACTAATTTATTATTGTCTCTAGGGCATATTTCCAACACTACCAACTCATTGGTGCTTCTAGTGCGAGGACGACATCAATCCAATATAATCCAATCCAAGGAAGACCATGTTTATTTTGTAAAACAACCATCACATACATCGAAGCAACCGATACAAATGGACGCCACACACACCCAAGGCAAGATACATGAATGACGGGCACCGACACACAACCTCAACGACTACCAAGCACTTATAAGATGTGCAAAATAGGGATCCGTTTAGAGCTGACAAAGACCACCAGCATGAGGAGCGATCAACTTGGAAGATGTGCGACGAACATGCCGTACCAAGGACTCCAAGACGACGCCTCCAGGAAGGGCACGACCATGAACGTCGCCACCGTCTGATCCGAAGATCAAGTTTTCACCCAGAGTAAGATGGAAGGAGTGGGAGGAACACGACGTCCACGGACGCCTTCACCGTCAACCAGTGAATGGACTGGGTAGGTGATGTACCACGGTGGTTCAACCCCTCCGCCCCAACCCCGGTC